TGAGGTTTAGATTTTTTGATGGTCAATCTAACAACCTTAGATACCATTTTTCAGTATTAGATTTATAGTTTTCATATGAATGCTATGTAAGTTTATATTTATAATTCTAAACTTACTATCTTTATATAAAAATATAAGCTGTATGATCATATAAAATTTTATTGCTAATTATATACTGCAATATTGTGTGAATTATTAAAAGTTTTCTATACTGAATTATTATTCTAAAAATCTTTTTCACATATTATAATTGTAAAGGTGACAAATGTATTAAGGAAAATTATGATTTTAGAAATAATTTATATTTAAGAAATTTGTATTTTTTCAAGGCTGTTTAATATTAGTTACTTACATTTTATTAATTTTTACAATTTTCAAAAATAAATTTTAATATAATTTTATTAATTCTGAAATAAAACTTTAATACAAATTTAATAATTCTTTACAATTCAAAAATAAATTTTAATATAATTTTATTAATTTTGAAAATAAAACTTTAATACAAATTTAATAATTCTTTACAATTTCAAATATAAGATTTACAATTTTCTTAATATATAGTAACTAGATATAGCCAAATTTATTAACAATTTATTAACTAATTTTAAACAAATTATAACCAAATATTAATAATTAATGCATAATTTGATCACTATTTAATTTTGAAATTAAATATTTCTGCAAAGTTTATAATATATGATAGAATCATTAATTTATCAGGTTTGAATATACCTTGCAATATTTAATAGAAACATTCACTTGACTTATTAATCTTTGATTTATTATGTAAACTATAAAAGATTCAACCCTTGAATACTACATATAACTATTACAACCTGAAAAGATTGTATGTTAATAGCATTATATACTTTATATATTTTTTTATATGATTAAAATTATATTATTTTAAAAATATAAATCTTATATATAATTAAATAAATAAATAGATAATATTAATATATAATCAAATTATGAATTATATTACAAATATGAGCATTTTACAATAAAAAAAAAAAATCCAAAAAAAAATTTTACTTTTTATGCTAGTATGATTTTTTTAATAAAATAAGATCAGATTTAATATTAATTTAAAAATAAACATTTGAAATTTCTTTCTTTTTTATTATAAAGCATCTATCTAAAACAATAGGAATAATATAATTATACTTTTTCACTAAATGAATTTACAATGTATAGATTATTTTTAATAATTTTTTCAAATATTTGTAAATTTATTATAAATTCTGCCCTAAAAAAATCCAGTAAAAAAATTATGGGAATTTTATTGATATAATTCGGTAATATAATTGGCTGGATTAAAAATGATAAAACTAATCTACTTTTATTCTAAATCATTCATAATAATCGGAAGTTTCCGTATTCTCGATTAAGTCTTATTTAAAAATAAATTGTCTAAATGAGACATTTCATTTATAAATTTATAAATATATTTCGGAAATTTTCAATCAATCAATTATATTTTTTTCATTGTAATTTACTTTTTTAATAATTTTGAAAGAATGTATTGCAAATTTATCAATATTTGGAATGCATGATTGAAGATGCATTACATATACATCAAGCGAAATTGTCAAAAAAGAATTTAATTGGAAACGTGGCGGAGAGTTGTGCCGTTCAAAAGTGTCAATTTGGATGTCAAACCTTAGATATAGAAATTTGTAGTTTCAAGCTAAAGTTTGAAATTTAAAAATAGCTTTTTTTTTTTTTTATATAATAGTTATTACCCCTTGATTTGATTTCTATAATTGTATTAAAAAAATCTAATTTTTAATTGAAACCATAAATCTATAAAAATTAATTCAAGGGAAAATCAAATAATTTATTCATTCTATTTTGGGTTATCTAGCATATCAATCCACGAAAAAGACTAAAAAATGCTAAAAAAAAAACAAGTTAGTATTATAAAAAATAAAAATAAGTTAAATGGGTAACAAACGCGTTATATTACAAAAATATCAGATTTTTTTTTTTCTTTACTTTTTTTATGAAACGGAAAAAAATTACAAGGCAATAATTAATACACGGGTGTAGGGTTAAAGGGATAAAAAAAAAAATATTTGAGAATATATATATATATATGTTTGATATACAAGTCTAATAAAAATAATAATAAAAAATAATAATAATTGAATTAAATAAATTGTCCAATGATGAACTGATATGATCGTGAAATGCCTGGCAATAAAGAAATGCCAAAATAAAATGATGTGTCCCAATTAATATACATACATATATATATCTATGTGGAACGGAATGCATGATGACCAAAAAAAAATAAAAATAAAATAAAAAAAAATAATCAAAAAAAAAAAATAAAATTGCAATATTGGTCATTAATTGTTCAAATCTATTATAATCTCGATTAAAATATAAACTATAATATTGATTGTAACACGTGAAAGTATATAACAAATTCAAGGATCCTGAAGTAAATAATCAAGGGAAGCCTTTATTCATCACAAGCAAACACATCTGCTCCTTCTAACCTTGTTTTCTTTCTCCTTGTTAGCATCCTTGCGACTTTTTATTTTTCTCATTAAATCAGTATATACTTCATTGACATTCAGTCGTGTTTTTGCCGAAGTTTCATAATAACTACAATTCCATTCACGTGCCCTATTCCTAGCTTCCTCTTCGGAAACTTTACGAATCTGAGCTAAATCGGCTTTATTACCAACAAGAATAAAAGGTATCTGAAAAATATTGTAATATATTAAATAAGTCATTATATTCCTTTTGCCAGCCCCGAAATTTACATAATATATAAATAAAAAATTTATATAATTTTAATTAAAATAGGTCGAATTTCATACATTATTATTACTTACGCTATCATCATCAAGTACTCGTGAAATTTGATCTCTGAAATCTTGAGTATGTGCAAATGATTCATACTCGCAAATAGAGAAAACACACAGAAATCCTTCACCAGACCGATAATAATTATCACGAATCTTCAATTAAAAAGTAATAATAAATTGTCAAGGAAAAAAATATATATATATAACAAGAAATGTCTACGATATAAAAATGAATATAGAAAATTTGACGTTGCAAATTCCTTTTTGTAATAATCGTAACAAATATTTAAATATTTTAAAAAAGGATACGGCAGCATATTCTTCCTGTCCGGCTGTGTCTAGAATGTCAATCTGACATTCTTGTCCATCTAAAGATATTTTCTTACGATAAGAGTCTGCTTTTGTTGGGTCGTATTCCTCAACAAAGTCACCGTACATATATTGTAAAGTCAAAGCTGATTTACCAACACCGCCTGAACCAACCATAATGACTTTATGAAGCGGAAGATCTTGTTTCGCTTTTTTACCCATTATTGGATTTCCTTATAATAAAGTTTAATCTGACAAAAAAAAAATTAGGGAGAAAATTTATTGTGTTTTTATAAGTGTGAAAGTGATATATATTGGGAATTGGTAATAGGGAAGGGAAAAGTTGAATTTACAAAGAGAGAACTGAGACAAAATGAGTTACAGTCGGAATAAAATGGTTAATAACGTCAAAAAACGGAAGAGAATTGAATGATATTGAACCCCAATAAATCCGTTTTATGCGAGTAACAGTGAACGAGTTTGGTTAGGAACAGCAACAAAAAAATAGATTTTTTTTTTTAAAAAAAAAAAAAAAAAAAAAAAGAGGAGAAAAGGTAAGTCGCAGAATAATGACATACAATGTTTACTCATACAGATAATAGATGTATGCAGGTAAAACGAAAATGCAAACTCTTTGTGGTTTTTGACACAAAAAAATGTAAAATAGATCACAAATTGGTCAAAGTCCGCTGCGTGGTCCGATTGGGGACTGTAGTTCAAACATTAATTTGGATGAAATGTGGGGAACAACCTTTTAATCAAAATCATTCATTTGAGTGGGGGCTTATCACATTGGTTTGGAAAAACATGCAACTTGGCGAATTGACGAATTGGCGAATTGGCGTACAAATCTCCTGCTGCTTGGTTGCCAATTGGAAAAAGAAAATTTCATCTGGTATAAAAAATTAGAAGATAAAAAAAAAAAGTTTTAGTACAAATCAGCGCATTTCATAACTGTGTTCTCGAAGAACTGGTTTATTTTTCTATCTTCCTGTACCTAACATATTGTGTAATCTGTGGGGAACGAACCATGGTTTTTAAGTTTAAATAAACTAAACCTATAATATAAAAGTTTGTTAAATCACGAGTGATAATACATATATCTATTTCAGGTAGTAATTATTATTGGTTACAAAAATCTTGCATATTTTTAAGGTCGATCGACTGAGAAAAATAACATCGTTCGTTTAAACAAATGAATGAGGCTGATGTGGCTGATGTGGCTGATGGGGTCTAGGGATTCCCCAATTTTACTAAGCGTCGCCGGAAAAATGGTTTCCGAACAAATTTTACTGGGTAGCACGTGATTTCGGATATCGATTTTCCAGTAATCATAGTGTAATGAACAAAAAAAAAATTTATAATTTGAAAAAGCTATATTTATTATTTTATTTTAAGCTTGACTAGATAATACAAAACTTCAAAGTCCAGTTCTTTTAATTCCCAATACATTGTATTTATTAAAGTCATTTCAAGTTTTTGGCATAGTTCAACGAATTTTAGTGCTATAATTTCTTCATTTATTTTTTTTAATGCTTTAAAATTTAATGAACGTTTTTTAACCATAAATGCCATTTTTGTTTGTTCTGTGATTTTTATAACAATCCTCTAATCTAGAAATTAGTATTAATATGGTGTCAGTAGTGTTCTGCACAGATTCAGATTAGATCTGTTAAATTCAGATCAGATTTGAATTTGGATTCAGATCAGATCAGATCCGTCAGATTCGAATTCAAATTCAGATCAGATCCGTCAGATTCAGATTCGAATTCAGATCTGATCCGTCAGATTTAGATTTAGATTCAGATCTGATCTGTCAGATTCAGATTCAGATTCAGATCCTAAATTGATTATCAAATGTTAATTGATAATCTTTTTTTGCCTTTATAAAGCTTCTTTCTTCAGAACTAAAATGAAGAAAGCAAGCTTTACCAACTTCAACTGTAGGTAAAAATTTTTTTTAATATTTTTTTTAATATATATTTTTTTTAATGTTTTAATTTATTTAGGTTTCATGTTTAATTAATTGAGTGAGTAGTGAGATGTGAGCAATGGAAGACAGTAGGGAAAGTAAAGAGCAGTAGGTGGTAGGAATAGTGAAAGGCAATAGGTGGTAGGACAATGGAAAGTAGTGGAAGGAAATGGAAGGAAGTAGGGTAGTAGGCGAAATGAAAGGAAGGAATTACTGTGTATAAATTGAGAATTATTTATTAATGTTTACTTTTTATATTTCAGGATCGGTTGGAATTTTGAGCATTATTTGTTTATTACTTTCCACATATAATCTAAAGCCTTTTCTAAGACTTCACATACTAAGCGATTGATTTTAGTTTTTAAAAATCTTTCTTACTCAGGTTTCTAATTAGATTTAGCCGATTTCGTTAAGAATTCGTTTGGCTATTAGTAACTGTATCAATAAGTTTTTTAATTTATTTTTTTATTTATTAATTTATTTATTTATTTTTTAATTTATTTCTATCAATTTTTTTTTAATATTAATTAGCGGTTTTGTAATAAAAGGTTAGTTAGGATTAAATTTTTTTTATTTAAATTTAATTAATTTCATTTTTAAATTTTTTTTTTGTATTTGTTTATTTGTTTATTTTTAAGTTATATTATTTCAGAATTTGTGATAACAATTTTCTTAACAAAGTAGTAAGTGGATTATTTTTTTTTTATTTATTTATTTATTTATTTTTCTTTATATTTATTATTAATTGTTTTTTATAGAAATATTTGGGTGATTTTGTAGTAAATGATCAGGTTTAATTTATTAATTTTTTATTATTTATTTAAATTTAAATTTAACATTTAATTTTTTTTAGTAGATTATTACTTACGCTTGTGATTACTATGTATGTTAAATTGATATAATTTAATTTTTTTTTTATTAATTTAATTTAATATTTTTTTTAAAAAAAATTGTAGCTTTTTTTGATAAATAAAATTATTACACCAAAAAATTGGCAGCTGCTAGTAAGTGAATTTAATTTAATTTAAATTTTTTTTTTATTTAATTAATTTAATTTAATTTAATTTTTTTTTTTAGATTTCTTTTAATATTATTATTAATGATATCTATAGTAAGTGAGTTTAATTTAATTTAAATAAATATTTTAATTTATTAATTAATTAATTTAATTATTTATATTTTAATTTTTTTTTCTATAGCTATAGTAAATTTTGGCATTTGCGGTTAGCAGCTGTGGTAAATGAGTAAATTTAATTTAATTTTGTTTTTTTATTTAATTTTATTTAATTTAATTTAAATATTTTTTTTTTTTTTAGATTTCTTTTAATATTATTAGTGATGTCTATAGTAAATGAGTTTAATTTAATATTAATTTATTAATATAATTATTTAATTATTTAATTATTTTTTTTAATTTTTTTTAATTTTTTTTTATAGCTTTTTTTTGATAAATAAGATTATTACTGTATCAAAAATTGATAGTTGCGATAAGTAAATTAAATTAATTTTAATTTTTTTATTATTTAATTTAATTTAATTTAATTTATTTTTTTTTAGATTTCTTTTAATATTATTAGTGGCATCTATAGTAAGTGGGTTTAATTTAAATATTTAAGTTATTAATTATTTAATTATTTAATTTTTTTTTTAGATTTTTTTTTAATAATAATAATTGGCATTTGCAACAAGTAGATTTAATCATTTATAATTTTAATTTTTTTTATTTATTTTATTTGATAAATAAGATTATTATTATATCAAAATTGGCAGCTGCAGTAAGTAAATTAATTTAATTAAATTATTTTTTTGAATTCTTTAATAATAGTTAATATTTAAATAAGTTTAATTTAATTAATTTAAATAAATATTTTAATTAATTAATTAATTTAATTATTTTTTTTAGCATTTTTTTTATTTTTTTTTGGTAAATTAAATTATTATTTATAGCTATAGCAAATATTAACAGCTACTGTAAGTAGATTTAATTTAATTTAATTTGTTTTTTTTATTTAATTTTTTTTAAATTTAAATTTTTTTTTTAGATTTCTTTAATAATAATCAGTATTTGCAGTAAGTGGGTTTAATTTAATTAATTTAAATAAATGTTTTGATTAATTTAATTAATTAATTTTTTTATTTTTAGCTTTTTTTTTTAATAAATTATTTAAAGCTGTGACAAATAATTGTAGTTATAATAAGTAGGTTTAATTAAAATTAATTTTT